GGATTGTCATTTAAAAAAAATATCCCTCCTTGAAACTTTATATATATAAATGAAAGCATATATGATACACATCGATACAGCGGACAAACAGGGCTTGTAACTTTATATATATATACATAATAGACAATCGTATAGTTTAAGCTGGTAGCTGCAACGTTTAGATCAATGAGTTGTAGAGTCAAGTTAGAACGTACGTTATTACTGGTGACCTAAACATTGTCAATAACACTTCTCTGCGAATATGTTATCCAAAGGCCCGAAATATCGTGAGCCTAAATCCATCAATTGGAAACACAGCTTCAAAATACTGATGGATTCAGCCGAGGATTGTGTCAGGCAATGGGTTAAACACGAGAAAGAAGACGTAGAATCTCTTTTCGAGTGGAATAAGACTGTGAGGTCGTTGATACAAATCAGAAAATTAATGGGTATATGAATAGCTATGCTTCATCAATCTTTAAAGACCCAAATGTTGGAAAACATTTGTCCTACCTCCATGACAAATATGTTGTTATCCCCGCATGTGTAAATCACATTACATAAACTGCTTGATAAATGCTTAGGTATTGACGATTTTGAACAGATATATCATGTTAAGGAGGGGTATTTGCGAAAAAATACCAGTCGAGGGAATGTTAAATTTCGCGAGCCGTAAGGCGAGGGAAATTCATTCTCAAGACTGGTATTTTTCGCAAATACCCCTCAAGAACATGCTATATCTGTTTAATTACACCGAATGTTAACGTTCAAAAACGCATTGATGATCGTGACGTTACAAGCGTCCAGTCGGATAGAGTATTTTTTGGCAAATACCACGGCAGAGAGGGTAAAAAAGGCATATCCTTTTTACATATACCCCGGCGGCGTTAAAAAATGAACGATATTCATTTGATAACAGTAAATTGGTGAAAAATACACTGGCTTTCAACCAATCAAAACCCAGGATTCTTACATAAGGTGTAATTTACTTGGAAATTCAACATATACCCCTACGACACTTACCAAGGAGGAAATCCTGGATAATCACAGGTCTGTTCTATGTTCCTTTGGAATTTCAACCAAAGATGAAGAACTGGATCTTCCTTCAATGTATTGGATACCTAAACTACATAAGTGTCCTTACAAACACCGCTTTATTGCTGGGTCTTTCAAGTGCTCCACGAAACCTCTTTCTGAATTAACATCAATTTTGTCAGCAATCAAAGCCGGGCTTCAAAGTTATGGCGAAACTATCTATTCTAGAGGTGGCGTGAATCAGATGTGGATACTAAAAATTTCCAAATATCTTTTAGAGTACATTCAATCTAAGACTCTCTCATCTTGTAATAGTATTAAAACATTTGACTTTTCTACACTTTACACAAGTATTCCCCATTCCAATCTAAAAGACAAATTGAAAGAGTTGGTCCTGCTTTGTTTCATGAAAAATAAAATTGAGAATGGAAATGGGGAATATGTCAAAGAGACAACAACCCGACCAAAGAGCAGATAAAGGCCGAAGGCCACCAATGGGTCTTCAACGCAGCGAGAAAAGAATGGCCTACGTAGATAAAAGTATCTTGTCTTAGGGAGGAATAAATCATATAAATCGTACTTTGTAAAAAAATCACTCTGATTCAGACAAAAAATTCTCTGAAACTGACATTATCAAGATGCTTGATTTCTTGCTTGACAATATATTTTTTTACGTTTGGAGGACGTGTTTTTCAACAAACAATCGGCATTCGGATGGGAACCAACTGTGCTCCTCTTCTTGCCGACTTGTTCCTTTATTCATATGAGGCTTATTTCATACAGGAACTTCTTATGAAGAAAGAAAAGAAGTTAGCATTATCCTTCAATTTCACTTTCCGCTATATAAATGAGGTTCTCTCACTAAATATTTCAGAATTTGGTGACTATGTTGAATGCATCTATCCCATCGAACTTGAGATAAAGGATACAACAGATACAGTTAAATCTACATCATATCTTGACTAACACCTAGAAATTGACAATGATGGTCGGTTGAAAACAACATGATTTCAGCTTCCAAATTGTGAACTTTCCATTTCAATGTAGCAACATTCCAGCAGCGCCTGCATACGGAATATATATCTCCCAGTTGATACGATATTCCAGGGCTTGTATTTCCTATCATGATTTCCTTGATAGAGGATTGCTGCTCACAAGGAAGCTATTAAACCAAGAGTTCCAAGTGGTGAAGTTGAAATCGTAAATTTTACGGTCGCCATCACGAGTTGGTTAACGGAATATCCGTTTCACAGATGACAACGGATGTGTTCCAATTGTCGTAACTATAATACCGTCCCCTTTTCCCCTAATGTGACCTACCAAATTAGACTTATCACTGGGTTTTTACTAACATGAGCAAGATGACGGGTGCCACATGTGGAGCCGGATCTGCTTACCCTTCCGGAGTATCTGAGATCACACCAGGTTTTGGTGGGGTTCGTGTTGCTCAGTCTTTGTTTTTTTTTATGTTGTATTTTGTGTACTGTTGTGTGTCTGTTTGTCTTTTTCGTTTTTAGCCATGGCGTTGTCAGTTTATTTTCGACATATGAGTTTGAATGTCCTTCGCCTTTCTTTTTTTGAAGTAGACTTGTCGGTTTAGGTTTGCATCCCTGTTTTCTCTTTGTTGTCCATATTCTTTAGTTTTTCCGTATTTCTTATTTTGCATGTTGTTGTGGATATTTTTGTAATAATAGCGGGTTATCCCATTTATTTTTGGATAATTATTGGATATTTCACGTTTTATGAAAAGAAAATGATTACATTCAATTTGTCTATTTTTGTTTTATAAATATAGTATGATTTCATCTGTTTTACTAAATATTTTTACAAATGTTTATTTGCAAATCCCTATGCGAGTAAATCGTGATGTGCCTAGAATTAGGTTTCGTCCAAGAAATTTCGGTAACATACTTATTACATATACTTAGAAATAAGTTCGAATATGTCTTATTTTGTAAATGACGGATAATGTTCAGATGCATAATAATTGAAAGACAGACGTGTTATGTTATATTTGTATTTCTCTAACCAATTAACTGTGAACTTTGATTTATTAATGCAAAGTTGAACATGATAACATGTTTTTTAAACCCACTTACAATACCTTCTAATTAGGAAAGGCTTTAATTTTGAAGAGACATCAGAAAAATAGTTTTAAGTAAGAGACACAATGGATAAGCGTTGATTCATGAAAAACAAACCATTCGCCCTAAGGGCTCATGCTTTCTTTTTCAACAATCAAGGCTTATCCATTGTATCTATAATACTCAAAATAAAACATTTATCTGCATGCCGTTTAAGACGTCTTTTCTTAAATAAATTAAAAAAAATACTTGGACAGAATTATTGACAGACATGGTTTGATTTTGATCTTCTTGTCCTTGTGCAGCAAACCCATTCGTGTACTACTGCACTTACAAAATTAGTAGATGAATGGTTAACAAATATAGAGAAATGGGGAGATAAACGGAGTTATATTATTAGATTTAAAGAAAGCTTTTGTTCTAGTTAATCATATAATTTTATTGAAAAAACTTTTATAATGTTTCAAACTGTACACTAGACGAATTCAACAAGTTAAGGTCAATAACGTCATGTCTGATGCTAAATACATAAAAACTGGTGTACCACAAGGCTCTATCCTTGGTCCTCTGTTATCTATTTCATACATCAATGATTTACCACTGATCATGAAAAATTCATTAATAGATGTATATGCAGATGATTCTACTTTACATCGTAAATGTAATAATGTACATGAATTAAATGCTAACCTTCTAAATGATATTTATATAATTGAAAACTGGTGTTCGGAATATTGTATGAAACTAAATGCCAAAAAATGTAAATCAATAATAATTGGTCCAAAACAGAGGCTTTATTCAACTGGGAACAGTTTAGATATCAATATTTCAGATGAACGATTAGAGAGTGTAGATTGTGAAAATATTCTGGGTTTATATATCGACAAAACCTAAATTGGAATAAGCAAATAGATAAAATGTCATGTACAATATCAAATAGAATCAACTTATTACAAAAGATACGAAAGTGTTTACCTATGCATATACGTATTATTTATTTTAATGCTTATATTCTGCCATTGTTTGATTATTGTTGCAATATATGGGGTAATTGTAATGAAAGTGGAATAAATAAACTTAATAAGTTATTAAAGAAATCTGCTAGGGTTATAGTAGAAGCTGACATAATGACATCCTCCACTTTATTGTTTAATAGTTTAAATTGGTTGAATGTGGAAAAACAATATCTAAAGACAATAATTGAATTTAAATCATTAAAGGATATGGTTCCTAACTTTTTACGAGAAAATTTTCATTTTACTGATAATCAAAATTATAATTTACGTTCAGCTGATAAAAAAACTATTAAAACTTTCGAAGCAAAAACAAAATGTTCTGAAGAAAACTTTTATTTATTCTGGTTCTCAAATATGGAACAGTTTACCAACTGAAATAAAGATGAGTAATACACTTGAATCTTTTAAAACAAAATGTTACAATTTTTCATGAAGAGGGCAAATTAATATGCTTTTTCATTAATATCTATATAAAATTGTATATTGTGTACATATCATTATAATATTGTATGTACTTTATGAATATGTTATTATTATTTTGAGGACTGTCAGGAAGATTAGTTTTAACTACTTGGACTATCCTCTTGAAATAAAGATTATCTATTTATTTATTTATAATAATTTATGTCATGTATTTTCGAAACGATTACAAATTATATTATTTCAACTATATAATAAATTACAATACTCGTAAATGGTATTGTTCACTATTTTATCGTGTCAGCATGATTGCTAATTAGGACAAAGGCCCAACCACAAAATACTAATAGAGGCGTCGCTGTTTACTTTTATAATCGGTTTTGCGAATAAGAATGGGAGCTCAACAGGGTGGACCCTGCAGGTTTAATTGAGTATAGAAATATGTTATCCCGGGCTTCTCCCTTCCCGAAAACCTATACCAAAGAGGTGCGTCTATTTTGATGAAATGGATATACAAATATGCTGCCACGTCCGCAGATTGGGTATGTTTAATCATATATCTTGTGGAGGAAGAGTGCCACTCTCTTTGTTACAGTTTCTTCATATCGAACAATTTATTATAGTAATCCAAATGTGGAATGTGGAAGAACATTATCAAATAAAATTGCATTATAATTCGAGTATTTCTTTATTCTCTCCAGTAACGTTAACTACGAATTAACTTATTTGATAACATAATTGATATGAGCCGACCAAGATATAGTTGCGTCAACAAAAATACCAGGAACCTTTTCAGAGTAACTCCTTAATATGTTGGTCATTAATGAATATATCTATAATGTTTCATTGCACATGGCAGACAGTTTCTGTTTTGAACCTATACACAATGTCTTTGTAGTTGACACATCCACTAACATTTTGTTTTCATCGCACAAATGACTTATATTTTCCAATAGAGTTTCGAGTGTCTGACTTGTATAACTTTTGTTTTTTTTTCTTCAATCACAGAAATCGTTCTTTCAGCAGAAAGATCAGTGTTATAATATTGATTATGTAAAGGAAAATAATTAATAAATATTAAGAATAACCTAGGACCTAAAACTGAGCCTTGAGGTACGTAATTTTGATACATCTGAAAAAGTATTTAAAATTGAACCGACCTGATGTCTATCGGTCAAATACGAAGTAAACCAATAAAGATAAGTATAAAAACATTTGTTTTTTTTTGTAATTTTTGAAGGGCAGTTCATAACTTAGAAAATCAAATTAACAGAGCCATAAATACCGCCCCTCTAAATCGCCTTAAACAATGGGTTTTAATCATTTTTCTAACAAAGATGTCATAGCAGTATAACAGGAATGGTTTGTACGAATGCAGCACGATTGCATGACATACATACAGCAGATTATATTTTTAGAAAATTCATCAAACAAGTATTTACGTGTCTCACAAGGATATATTAATGATAAAATTGCAATAGGTCCGTAACGAACAAATAATTTTTTTAATCATTTATTTAAATCTGGCGTCAGCCATTTTGAATAACGACGGGAGCTGATTTTCTCATTCTTAAATTTAAAATGTGACATAATGGAACTGAAATAAGATGTGACGACATTTAAAAAAAAACGTTGCACTGATATTGTCAAGACCTGTTGCTTACTTGTGAACAATGCACTTTTAATATTTTTACATTTAAACGAAACTGTTCACTGTCTTGATTTCATTTGTTACCATTTCCATTACATAGATTTGCAGACATATTCATGGCACTTATGCAAAATTAGTTTTTAGGTATCAGAATGCCCATTAAATTTTCTAATACCATATAATGGTATTGCAGAGGAATCGTCGGTTCCAGAAGAATTGAATAATCTAGAACAGCGTCAAAAAGAGTAAACATTGTAGATATATTTCAATGAAACCATTAGTATATAACATTTAAACCTGTAAAGTTCCGGTAAAAACAAATGCCAAATATTGCTTTGAGAAGACTAACAGCAAGGGATGGCGCTCAATAAAAAGGCAGAATGATTTGGAGAGACACAATTGCTGCTTTATTATCCTGATCAATAACAATTAAAATTCTGGGAATTTTGCATAAAAGTTCCTAAATTTATTATTTTTTCAAAATGATATGATTGCTTGGAAATGAAATACCTGGCTAAATCATAACATTACTCTATGGATCTACCGTTTGACAGTTACAAGTCTTTGTGCTGTTAAAATGTATCATGAAATAAATTATCTCTTGTTTGCAGGTATATTCAGGGAAATACGTACCACCATCTAAAAGGCAAAAGTTGGCAGAGGAACAATCCGAGGTCAATGGTAATGTAGTAGAGATGCAAAGTTTAACTGAAATAGGTACATTAATTTTGTATTTACTGTATTGAAAAAAAACGACGCTTGAACGATTTGGGAACATTTACATGCACATATTTTAGATGAATGAGATATGTCTAAAATAAAATGAGAAAAATCTGCAACACTCGGTTTTCATTTTCTAGGGGAACATTATACAGATAGGTGCTTAGTTTACTACAAGCATGTAATTGTAAATCAGAGACTACTTATAGTACAAATGTACTACGCTTCTCAATTGATGCAAATTCAAATTAAACTGGTGACAAATAAACATATAATTCGACCTGTTGACGCAATTTGTAATGCATTTTTGTTATTCAATGTTTACTTATTTTGTGTTATATCTCGTCTCACTACTTTTAATATGAACCACCTTTGATAAGTATTAAGTATTGCGATAAATTTTCACTTCTGTACTCGTACTGTGAACAACAAATTTATTTAATTTGTAAAATATAAAAAATATTTCCGTACTCCTAACAACAAAATTATTATATTTAATTTTTTTCTGTGTACGTTATTTTATTTAACGCCATTTTGTCCAAGGTTAGAGTTGTCTTTTTGACATTGTTTTAAATCTTTTTTTATAAATATTGTATTTATATTGTGTCATAGATCAAATTTATTCGTTCAGTGTATGTTTACTTGTTTTTGTCTATGTCTTTTTGATCGAGTTAAGCCATTTCAATTGCTATTTTATAGTGCTTCTTTTAACACTACTGTTTCAGGTAAGGGTGAAGGTTGGCGCCTGTAAATACGTTTAAACCCGCTGCATTTGTATGCACATGCCCTAAGTCAGGAGCCTGTTCAGTGGTTGTGGTCTGTTGATGTGGTTCATAAGTGTTTCTCGTTTTTTATATAGATTAGACCGTTGGTTTTCCTTTTTGAGTTGTTTTACACTAGTCATTTTGGGGCCCTTTATAGCTTGCTGTTCGGTGTGAGCCAAGGCTCCGTATTGAAGGCCGTACTTTGACCAATAATGGTTTACTTTTTACACATTGTGACTTGGATGGAGAGTTGTCTCATTGGCACTCATACCACATCCTCTTATTTCTATATACATTGTATTCATAACAGCCTTGTATGCTTTCACCTTGCTGTTGGTCCAACTAGATAATATTTTTTGGAACTTCGATTGCTTATTTCTTTTCAAAATTTGCTTACGGTCAGCTTATGTTTCCTCTCGTGATTTTCCTCGATACAAGGTTGCTAAATAATAAAAAAAAGGTATTGACCGATGGTTCCTATCGATAAAGTTGAAGTAATCATTTGGAAAGATTTGCAGACATCATCTTGACTGTTATGGTAAATCTGTGTCACAAATTACCAGGGATATATTCAAATTGTAGCACCCTATGTCCGGTTAACTTTTATTCGATTTTGGCACCATCGAATGCAACTTATGAACATTTTTTACTAGCTATGAGCAACATGTCTTGTCTTACAGGTATAGTACGATCTGCTTACCATTCTTGAACAAAGTTTTGTTTCTACCGGTTCTAATTTCGTCCAATCTATGTCCTGAAAACACGTCTTCATTTCTAAATTTAAGTTTTGGTAAATTTAGGGTTATAGTATTTCTGTCCCAATGGTTTATGAATTGGTGATGTTTAAGAGGTGCAAAAGAGACATGTATCTATCTATTATGTAATATATATTTAAATGATGTGACTCAAAAAGGTAACACGGTGTATGTAACTAGTGGAGCAGGATCTGCCACAGCACCAGAGATCAACATAATTGGTTGGATTGGTATTACTCAGTCTACTAGTTTGCTGTTGTTTGCCTTTATGTCGTATTTGTTTTGCCATGGTGTAATCTATATATTTTTCGAATTTTGATTTAAAGATTATCACCCTGGTATCTTAAGTTCTCCTTTTTTTTTTTTGCAATTACGTATGAAAGGTACACGAGTGACATACACATACATAAATCTTTAAAAAAAAATAAAGCTTTATAGCTATTTTGAAATATCTAAAATTAATGAAAATTCTGTCAATTTCAGATGGCAGATTTACGGTGGCAACCAAGAGTGACAGAATAGCAACAAAATTTGTGCCTTTACATTAGTATAACTAGAAAAAATTGAGAAAATTAAAGAAAAAATGAAATATACTGTACAAGTATTTAGGTTTTGTTTGTTTTTACTTCAACCACCAAGCCTCTCTAAACATTGGATTGGTAAAAGTTAAAGTGTCAAAAGTAAAATACCTAGCGTTTTCACCATACAAGTAAGCACTTTTTTAACAGATTTAACCACATGCACTTGTTTCATGCGATTGTGAGAATGTCCGCTCCCTCTTTTTATAGAATATGTATTTAATTCACACCATACATCAATTTGGTAAGCAGACAAACAGGCTGAAAAATGATAAAAATTGTCCATATGTTTTTGTATATGCAGGCATATATACTGAAAATAATCGCATAAATTCAATATTACCATTTCTACAGTACAGACCTGAAAATGCCTATTAAAAATTAACATAGCACATACTTACGAAAAATGCAGAAAGAAAAGAAAGGATATGGGGTACCTATCCATGACACAAATTCAGTACATGAATAGCAAAACAACCCACAAAAAGCAAAGGAACAGGGCTTTTATTGCTGTTCTTTATCTCGAATCAATGTGAGGTCTTCGACAAGGAGCAAAAGGTCTCACCTCACTGCAAGTTTGAGACGGCCCATAGCACCGATTTAAGCGGAATTCTTTGCAAACTGACGATCACGCATTGTGTGAATTAAAGAACAAAGCCATGGAGTAATATCCATAAAAAAGTATACTTAGAAACATAATTATGCATACATCAGGTCCGAATGCAGGCATACCGACCTGAGAAATAAAATATATAAGTAAAATGAAGGTTCTACACACACCAGGTATTCAGACCTGAAAAACTGAAGTTGATTGTCTGATTAAAATGAGTATAGCATACACCAGGTTTTCAATATGCCATATTCAATATATTTGAGTGTTCTATAAAAAGAAAAACACTTATTTTTATCTATATTTCTCATATTTGCATACGTTTGTCTCATGGACAATAATTCGGACTATTTGAGTATGAATTATGACAAACGACCGTGAATGAAAATTTCTAATTGTAGATGAGAATGTATAGTATCTATAAAGTACAGGCCGGCAATTCTGAAATTTGACTTAATTCGAGCTCTAGTAATTGTTAACCATATTTTACAAGAAGTTGCTCCACTCTCTGTTTAATATATAAATATGGAGATGTGGGGTGTTTGCCATGAAAGTCCAAATGTTGTGGATCTAAGCAATAGTAGGTCATCGTACTGCCTTCAACAATGAGGAAACCCGAAACCATATGGGGCGATATTGACTTTCCTGTCAACCTTCATAACCAACATTAACAAGTCACTTATAAAATACTTTTTTTTACGACACTTTTGCAAAGGTTCCGAAATGACAAAATGTGAAACGATTCAGACGGGAAACCCAACAGCAAAAAAAACTTATATGACTGACAGCTAGTTACCATTGGTCTCTACTCCTTGCATTTTGTTAAACGGAAACTTAACTTCAACATAAATTAGTAAATATATAGCTAATCGCATTTAAAGATAAATACGAATTGATAAATTAGAAGGATTTTAAGCGAATGGTATATTCATTTTCACAATCTGCTGATAGTACGGCTTATTTCTTTCGCGCGAAAATTTATTTTTATTCTTGTAAACAACTATTTCCTGCCTTGTCCTATATTTTGTTGATTTGAATATTAATGTTCATAGATATAAGAAGATGTGGTATGAGTGCCAATGAGACAACTCTCCATCCAAGTCAAAATTTATAAAAGTAAACCATTATAGGTCATAGTACGGTCTTCAACACGGAGCCTTGGCTCACACCGAACAGTAAGCTATAAAGGGCCCCAAAAAATTACTAGTGTAAAACCATTCAAACGTGAAAACCAACGGTCTAATCTATATAAAAAAACGAGAAACACTTATGAACCACATCAACAAACGACAACTACTGAACATCAGATTCCTGACTTAAGACAGGTGCAAACAAATGCAGCGGGTTTAAACGTTTTAATGGTACCAAACCTTCACCATCATTCTGAAACAATAGTGTAACATCACAACATAGAAAGACACACTATAAAATATCAACTGAAATAGCTTAACTCAATAAAAGGACATATTAACACCATTGAACATACACTGAACAAATGAATTTGACCTATGACACAATGTAAATACAAACTAAATAAACTAAGGGAAGAATAATAAAAGTAACATGTTATATCGGTAAGAAATGTTAAACAATTAAAGAAAAACAATATGCTCGAACAAAAATATCAGCCATTTGCACTAACTTTAAACACAGGTAAATGAAAATAATTTTGTTGTTAGGTATACGTGTACAGTACCAATAGAGAAAGGAAATATTTTTACAAAATAAATAACTGTCTTCGGCTAAGTTATGTATTTCCAGTTATTACAAGGCAAGTAGAGGTAATCTTGCAAGGCTGTTCCTACAAGTAATATGATCTTTGACATTCGTATAGTCAGACGGTAATTATCACTTCAAGAAGTCGGATTCTTAAAAAAAAATCCACATGTACTGTAAATATCTTTAAAATGGTTCCCATTTTTTTCAACTTGAAAACAGAAAAAAAAAGCGTACATGTATAACAAGCCATACATTAATCATTAATATTAATTTTACAGGTAAAACCAATTACTCAAAATCATTGAGCCTTTGGACTGCTCCACGGATAATGCAATTAATGGAATAGAGTGTACTCTGTATGGGTTAATATATGTTGGTGAAACTCGACAAAATTTGCGATAAAGGCCTTCTTTATCCATGAAAGAACGCATGTTGAATTTGGAGGTTGACTTTTGCAACAAATTTTTGGCATTCCTATGAGAACGAACTGTATACCTCTCCTTGCCGACCTCTTCTTAATTTCATATGAGACGGAGTTCCTTCAGACACTTATCAAACACGTGAAGATCAAAAAGCCAGATCATTTAATTTCACATTCAGATATATTGATGATGTTCTTTCCATTAACAATCATAACTTTTCTGATTGTGTCCCATTAATATATCATCCTGAACTAGAGATTAAATAAATCACAGATATACAGCTTCCTCTGCATCATTTCTAGACATTTACTTCGAATTTGACAACAATGGTGATCTCAGTACCAGAATCAATGACAATCGAGACGATTTTAATTTTGAAATTATTAATTTTCCCCACTTTAGTAGCAATATACCAACTTCACCTGCATAGGGGATATACATTTCCCAACTCATTCGGTATTCAAGAGCTTGCAACTGCTACTCAGACTTTTAAAACGTCACAAGTGTCTGAGCAGAAAGATGAAGAACCATGTTTATGTCAAAGAACGTCAGGTCCTTTTTCTAAAAAAATTTCATCGGAAGTTACCAAGACCTTGTTGATAAATATTCCGTATCAACTTCACAAATAATACATGATGGCTTTGAAGTATAGATTCTAGGTACTGACGTTGTTTGTCATCTTAATTACGCGTAATAGTGTTCTTTTCTTTGTCTTTGGATATTAGTAACCTTTACTGATTAGTCCATTTTTGGTAATACTCTTTTGGCGTGGCTCGGTACTTATACATCCCGCCATTGTGTTATTGTGCTACGGTAATGTTTTGTATTCTTGTCTTTCATTTTTGCTTTAAAATTTGTGCTTTGTCTATATGTCATTTTGTTTTTCTTTGTTGACATATTCGTATGTTTTATAGTGATTATGTCAACATATATTTGTTCCGCCTAACAGAAGTTCCCTCGGAAACCTTGTTATAAACAATTCCATAATATCTGTTCCAATTGGATCAAATATTCTATACCCTTTATTCCGTTAGGAACAAATGTTCCTATGGAAATATATTACATAATATTTCGTCCATTTGGAACTTCTATTATGATGGAACTAATATTTCATGACAACTAAAATTATATTACATTGTTGACTGTTATACCACAATTTTTGACATTTTTACCTATTATGTCTGTTTGTTTTGTTCACACATTGTTGTCAATATAATGCAATTTTGTGCGACTGTCATACAAGTGAGAGGTTTAACTGCTCTAAAACCTGGTTTCATCTACAATTTTCTACATAAGGAAATGCCTGTACCAAGTCAGGAATATGACAGTTGTTTTCAATTCGTTTGATGTGTTTAAGCTTTTGCCATTTTAAAAGGGGCTTTCCGATTTGAATTTTCCTTGAAGTTCGGTATTTTTGTTATTTTACTTTCTACATTTAATAGCCCCATCCTAAGTAAGCCTTTCGGAACAGATAGAGATATTTTTCGGATAAAGAAATTAGGTACCGCAATACCACACGGTTGCAATGAAGGTGTAGGGAATTTGTCAAGTTCAGCCTTCAGTGATATACATCTAATGAGTTTATTCAACACAAGCTTAAGACCCAAGCGTATTCATGGTATAACATGACTATTGTCCAAATGGAAAAACAATCACTCCCTGGGAGCTTTGATGACATTCTTTCACATCTCTATCATCCGCTTGGGTTACATTGAATGTATTTGAACCATTCTTCAAGAGATAATGCACTTAACAAAGGATGTAAAGATATGTTTCTCAAATATACAGACTGGTACGTATAACCATTACACGATGAAGATAGAATTTCATTCCAATTCTTTTTTCGAATAAAGGAATCGATGCTATCAACATCAGCAACGTTCTCCATTACAAGTAACACAAAAAAAAGTCCTCTTTATTTTCAAAGCCAGTCTGTTCCTATTTTCTCCTACAGTTACATCAAAACCATTGCACCTAAAATATTTGACTGTAAAAAAAGCATTGCAAAGACCTTGATTTAGAAGAATATTTTAAAACCTCAGTGACATCTGGCTTTCCACTCTCCATATATTAACAACCCCTCAGGCCATGTAATTACTGGTGATCTAAAAATGAATCAACATGAAATCTACGGAAGATGATATCTCATAGTCCTAATTTTAGAGAGCCAAAACAAATCAATTGGAACCATAACTTCCGAATAATAATGGATGAGGATTACACCAGAC